CCCGATTGCCCATCTTACGTTTGTGCAAGTCCTCACTTGCGGGCGGGTGCTACCCCACCCTTCTCCTTTTGTGGTCACCTATTATTTTTGCCACCGTTCTCCCACGTGTTGAGACGATCTCCAGTCCTGCCTGCTCCACAGGGCAGTGCCCCGGCAGTGCCAGGAGTTCTGCCCCAGGGAGGGACAGAGATTTGCTGCACCGGGAATAAACTGAACATGGCAGGCGTAAGTAGATACAATCTAATTTTGGAGACACCAGAGAGAAATTCTGGGAGAGGAAGTGGAATAACACACTGGATCCATGAGTTGGGCAAGCTTTCAGGAACTGAGAGTTGAGTTGAAGCTATGGACATCCCACGCGTTTCCATCGCCATTGAAAGACGCTGGGAAGGTTTTCAGTGACTGTGGGTTTTGTCTTTCAGGTGCTGAAAGACACTGGGAAGATCTCTCATGACGGTGGGTTTTCTCCTGTGCAAGAGAAGAGCCGCAACCACCCCACAGGTTCCACCGGTCTGCAGGTGTGCTGCCTACAAGCCCTTAACCAGCAGGAAAGATCCAGCCCCTTCTCCACATCACCGTGCAGTGACCCCTTGCAAAGCTTTGGAAGAAGAGCCAAATATTTTCCTGTGTTATGCAAAGGGAGTGAAAATATTTGTTTTTTTCTGAATTCAGAGCGGGTAGGATTGTAAGCGAAAAACCGGAGTTGGAAATTACTGTAGCACTCTGTGTGCACTCTGCACAGGCACTATTTAATCCTCACGAGTTAAGCAGAAAGAGTAAAGAAAAGACCTGCAAAGGTCTGAGTCACGTAGAAAGTTTTTTCCAAAAAGCATCACCTTTTGCTTCTCAATGCAGCCTGCCCTCCTTTTGCGTGGGGTTTTGTGGGGTTTTTTCTTTGTTTGGTTGTTGTGGGTTTTTTTTTAAATAAATGCAGAACATCACTGGTAATAAATTTAAAAATTAAATGATCCATAAAACTGTCCAGCTTGCTGATGCTTTTTCAGGTGGGCGCCCTGGGCACCGTGTGCCTGGTGCAGCTGGGAGGGGGACGCTGGCCGGATCCCAGCAGCAAACCACGATTCCTGGCTTTGTGGTCCAGCGAGGCAGAGTTTTGTTTGGAAAATACTGAAAAACTTCTGAAAGGCAGTTTTCTTAGATCTCCCTTACAGAAGGATTTCAGCTTCTGTTTGGTCAGAAAAAAAAATAAAAATAAATCAATATTCTCTGCTCTCGGAAATCCCCAGTTAATAACTGGTATGAAAACACAAACCGAAGATGGCTTAGAGTCACCGTTCTCCGAGATTTGTCACTGTCAGGTTATTTTCTTGGTTTTAGTGCAAAGAGAGGGTGTGCACTGCACGTTCCCATTCCTGGTCACCGATGAGTCATGAGCTGAGCCAAAACCCCTCAGACCCTCCTGCTCCCATCGGTGCGGAA